GTCTTTAGACACAAGTGCTCAAACTTTAGTGTTAAATTAAATTTGTGTGAAGCCCTATCTCATATTCTGTGCAAAACGATGGCTTATGAGAAACAGCAGATTTGTGATTGGGTAAATTAGTATGAGACAATAAATTCCATGGTTTACACCATTTCATTTTAGTTTTTAAGCTCATCTTTTTTTTTGATTACACACACTGCAGCCGTTGCAAGAATTAACTCTTCGCCCAAATGTTCCATCTTGTCGGCAACAATGCACGTTTGGGTGCTCTTCCTTCACATCTGTGTAAAACGAACTGAACGTGTAAACGCCAGATTTTCGTTCAGTTCATCTGCACAGATCTGGCTTGCGCAAGCCAAATCGTTCAGATGGCTTGAGCGTGTAAACGGTCCTTTAAAAAAGCAAGCTGAAGTACTCTCGATTCGAGCCATCCACTTCAGCTGGTTGTACTTCAAATATTATAGTTGACGCAACGACTGAGCTTTCATGGGTAGCCACTAAACAAACTGATGTGTAGGTCACAGTAAGGTAAATAATTTAGGCGGAATAATGAATGAATGCTGCAGAAAAATGTGCTGTTGAAATTTTTAGATGACGAGTTTCGCAAAATGTCCCAAATTCGTTTTCACTATAAGAAAGTCAGGAGTCCAACAAGTGTCTTACAAAACTGGGGTTCTCCTGAACTCTGTCTCAACCTTCAGATCCGAAATAATCAATATTTTCAGTCCATTTTGAGCCGTTCTTGAGCGACTTCGGCCTTAGGGGTGATAGCGAAAAATTTACTGATGAAATTGGCAAAAATAATAATAATATTAAATATAACTGTTTTTACAATTTATGGAATTTAGTCAACAAATTTATAAAGCAGCAGAAAAACCATCTTTAAACTTTGCATTAACTGAAGAACTGGAAAATTTATAGAAACCAACATTTATACCACAAAAAATCTTCCTTTTCGCATCGAACTATTTACGACGTTAAAATTAAAAAAAAAAGTGTGAATCCCAAAATATAAAACACCATTCGTAGAGTTCTCGTTTTTGATTTTAGATTTTTACTGGTTAGATGGATGGTCGAACCCTAGAAACGGGCACAAAAAACGCTAGAGAATCGACCAAAACAAAACCGCACCGTCATATTGACTCGAAATAACGCCAGTTGTCCCAAACAGCTAATTCCCTTTAACGAAGCAAAAAAAAACATTCAACAGTCGAGCAAGTTAGTAACCTGCAGTTTAAGACAGAAAAACCTCCGAATGACCAGTCGGTGTTTCGTGAGATGCTTTTTATGAATGCTACTGGCTGCGCTAACCGCAATACTTGGTTGAGTAACATGCATGGTTGTCAATTGGAAAGTACAGAATCTCCTATGGAATAATCATAAAACTTTGGTAGTTTTAAAGAGTTAATCGATTGAATGAATGGATCGCATATAAATATTTAAAAACAGGTGTTTTTCACCTCAGCCACTTGGCCCGATCTGAACTCTTTCGATTATTTTGGTTGGGGACATTTAAGAACAATCGTGATTAAAAACGCTAATAAAAAATTCAAAAATAATTCCGTTCAAATAACAGCTGCGGTTAATACACAAGTTTCTGGATGACAAAAAAGTATTGAGGTTGGCGAAATACACTTAGCATTAGCAATTATTGTAATTTTTGTAATAGTTAGTGATGCATTTCCTGTAGGGGGTGATAGTTCAAGTAATTTTAGATATATTTCATTAATATACCATGTTCCGAAAAAGCTTAGTTTCCGATCTACAGGGTGATAAAGTTTTCATGTAAAAAAGTTACTTTTTGTCTACGACGCCCCGTTTTCGAGTAAATAATTTAAAATCGATTTATTGCATAGCTTAATCGAGTTGTAATTAAGTAGGGTTTAGTAGAAAAACAAAAATTGTGCACTTAAATTGTATCAATTTTATTTTAAAAAAGCATAAAGAAGTTACTCAGACACTCGAAATGACGGCAATTATTAATTTTTTTCAATCAGTGACCATAACTAGTGCAGAGCCAACTTTTTAAATAAAAACCCGATTACGATGGGCAATAAATCGATTTTAACTTTTTTTATTCAAACACGGTGCGTTGTAGACATAAAGCCAACAGACCTTTTCTCTTCCAAATTGAACAGGAACTTGAAAAATAATATTGATTTTTAGAAAAATCAGTGGCGAAACCTTTTTTTATTTTAAATGATCTACAGACGTGCCTGTGCCCACGCCACTGGCGAAGCAAAAAACAATTTTTTTCTTATTTTTTTCAAAATTTCATTAAAATATTCCCAGGGGTTTCCGCAATATTAAAAAATATAGTTTTTTTAAATATTACTTTAACACGCTGTAGATCTGAGACTAAGAGTTTTCGGAATATGGTCTATGAAAGAAATATGTCCAAAATTACGTGCACTATTGATTGAAATTTCATCATTTTTCTCAGAGCCGAAAAGCACTTTCGAAATAGGTTTGTAACAATTTTTTCATCGCGAATTTTATGAAATACCTCACAAACGAAATAAAATATGAAAAAATAACATTAAACAAAAAAGTTTCTATACGAATCAGTGAATAGCGCCGGGGAGGCGATTTATTGAAATTATTTTTGTAGCTCAAGTTTTGACCCAATAGAGCTGGGGTGGCTCAGGAAATACCCTTACAAGGCTGTCGGGTGGTTAAAACAGAAGAAGCATTTGTAAAGGCATTAGAAGTGTTGCATGCCAAGTTTCCCTACATTCGGATGACAGGTTCAAAACATATCAAGAAAAAACACTGCTTCAACGCTATGTATCCTGAATCACCCAGTATAACTAATAACTAATGTAATTTGATTGAGAATTTATCGGCTCCCTAAAGAGTTTACCAGGAAACTGCAATGGTAAATATTCATAACCCTCTGCGAAAAACAAAAACATGAAAAACTTTAAATGAAAACCCCCTTATGAATCCACCCGCTCAACTGCGTACTTTCGCTGGGACCGGCAACGCCGGGCAACCACCTTTTCCATCGTCCATGTCATGGTTGTACTGGCACTAACCGAAGAACAACACCAAAAGGGAAGGGGGTACCAGGCAGAATCGAAGAGTTCGTGGCCTTCACTTCGCCGGTCAGTTTTCGTCGAGTACCTGAAGAAGCGGTAGGTACCGCTGAATGCACGGTACCTTTAAAAACTTCGCGATTAAGTGTGCGAATCGCTAACATGCCATAAATGCGAAAACATTGTGCTGTAAGTGCGGAAGTTTAGAAAACTATGGCCGTTTTGCGATTAGTAACAAGTTGCGTGGAAAACTATGCCAATATCATCAACTCACAAAGCCAAGTCGCAACATATTAGTTAAATTCAAAAATGGCAACTTTTCCCATCTGGTTTCTTCTGCTGGGAGTGATTTTCGGAGTTCTCTCAGCCTCCTTGAGCAAAACTCTCCGCTACCAGGCACCAGATGAGTGCAAATGGGTGGTGGTGGATTCATCGTCAGATGAGGACGATGTGGCACTGGTGTGCAGACTGCGGACTATCAACAGTGAGCTGGAAAACACGAATTTTAGTGTGATCCAGCCGCAACACACAGTGCGACTGAAATTGGAGTGTTCGGATGCGCTCTTCTTCCAAAGCTCTTTGAGTGCCGGCAGCTTCAAGCCGTTAGTTGAACTGAAGGAACTGAGCATCGAATATTGCAAAATCGGCAATCTTTCAGACGGCGCATTTCGAGGCCTCAAAGATCTGCGGAATTTAACCGTGAAAACGCACAACACCGATTGGAGCGCCATGAGTCTGGATATCAGCCCAAATGCGTTTTCTGACGAACTACGAATGCTGGAACGGCTGGACTTGGGCGAGAACAACATGTGGGCTATTCCCGAAGGGGTTTTGTGCCCATTATACGCGCTGGAGCTGCTAAACCTGACCAGAAATCGACTGCGGGAAGTAACGAGTTTCCACTTTTCAAACAGCTTCTCGGAGAAATGCGGAGTAAATCTGAAAATATTGGACCTGTCACGGAATAGTATCGATTCGTTGCCTTCGGGCCCGTTTTCCAGTTTATCACGACTCGAAAAACTGTACCTTCAGGGTAATGGATTAACGTCCGTTGCCGATCGCGCTTTAGAAGGCCTTACAGCTTTACATATCCTCAAGTTGTCGGACAATCGTTTAGTGAATTTACCACCCGAGTTGTTTGCGGACACCCGCGATTTACGCGAAATGTACCTGCGAAATAATTCGATAAACGTTCTTGCGCCAGGTTTATTTAGCGAACTCACGCAACTGTTGGTGCTGGATTTATCGCACAACGAGCTAACGGCCGAATGGATCAACACGGCTACATTTGCAGGCTTAGTGCGTCTGGTTGTTTTGGATGTAAGCTACAATCGAATTTCGCGACTGGAACAAAGTGTTTTTCGGGACTTGTACAGCTTGCAAATCCTCAAGCTGAACGATAATTTCATCGAGAACATTCCTGAAAACGCGTTCAGTGCTTTGTACAATCTGCACACGTTAATCGTGTCCAATAACAAGCTGACTCGATTGGAGAGCGACACATTCAAGGGCCTCCATGTGCTCTCATTGTTGTCGCTGGACAACAACAAAATTACCTGGATTCACCCGGAAGCGTTGAAAAATTGCTCGGGCCTGCAACATTTGCACCTCAACGGCAATCGGTTGCAACAAGTACCCGATGTGATTAAAAGCGTTCCGATGCTGAAGTATTTAGAGCTGGGCGAGAACCACATTGACTCGATAAACGATGAGGCGTTCAGCGATTTAAAGCACATGTACGGACTACGGCTGGCAGAGAACAACATCGGAAACATCTCTAAAGGTGTATTCGATAAAATGGTCTCGCTGACCGCTCTAAACCTTTCACGCAACAAGATTCAAAAAGTGACCGCCGGCACTTTCGACAACAACGCTAATTTACAATTCATTCGGCTTGACGGCAACTATTTAGCCGACATTGACGGATTGTTCGCGAAGCTGCCCAGTCTCCTGTGGCTGAACATCTCCGATAACCGGCTCAAATGGTTTGATTATGCCTTAATACCCACCGGTCTTCAAGGGCTGGACATTCACTCGAACCTAATCGAGGAATTGGGGAACTATTTCGAGATCGAATCGACGCTGTCGCTGAAAACTTTCGACGCCAGTTCGAATAAACTGACTGAAATCACTGGCAGTGCCATTCCGAACAGCGTGGAAGTGCTGCTGCTGAATGACAATCTCATCTCCAAAGTGCAATCGTACACGTTTTTCAAAAAACCCAACCTGACCAGGGTGGATTTGTTCGGCAACAAAATCACCAGCTTGGACCCGAATTCGTTGCGAATTTCCGCAGTGCCTCCCGAGAAAGAGCTGCCGGAGTTCTACATCGGCGGAAATCCGTACAGATGCGACTGCACCATGGAGTGGCTTCAGAAGGTCAACAGTGTGAACAGGGCGCGAACGCAGCCCAAACTGGTCGACCTGGAAAGCATTTTCTGTCAGCTGCTGTACAATCGTGGAAAAACGTATGTGCCTTTGGTTGAAGCCGCCCCCTATCAATTTCTATGCACCTACGACACGCATTGCTTCGCTTTGTGCCATTGCTGTGATTTCGACGCTTGTGACTGCGAAATGACTTGCCCAACAAATTGCACTTGCTACCACGACCAATCCTGGAGCGCCAATGTGGTGGACTGTAGCTCCAGTGGCTACATTGCAAAGCTACCCGAGCGGATCCCCATGGATGCCACTCAGCTGTACATTGACGGTAACGACTTGCGATCCTTGAACAGTCACGCGTTTATTGGTCGCAAAAAGCTGAAGATTCTCTTTTTGAACAATTCCAACATTGAGGCCATTCAAAACCGCACGTTTCATGGCCTCAAGGAACTGGAGACTCTGCATCTTGAAGGCAACCGCCTGACTGTCCTGAAGGGGTTTGAGTTTGAAGGTCTGGAGGAGCTGCGCGAGGTGTTTCTGCAGAAAAACCGACTATCGCTGATTGAGAACGACACCTTCAAAGGGCTGAGGCACTTGAAGGTGCTGCGCCTGGACCACAACCGGCTGGTTACGCTGGATGTTTGGCTTCTTTCCAGTACGCTGATCGAAGTGACTTTCGCATTCAACCCTTGGAGCTGTGACTGCGAATTTACAGAAAAGCTCCGCGAGTGGATGATTAGAAGTGATTCTGTGCTCGATCTAGCCAAAGTGAGATGCCTGTACAATTCCACCGACATTGACTATTACAGTGACGAAATCTACTCGGACAGTCCTGAACTGGGCTTTTTCGTCACCCAAAACTTCACCAAGTGCACAGGCGGTGCAAACATCGACAACAGCGTCAATGGGAACCTAACTGCTACCAAAACCATCATACAGAAACAAGCCATTCACGACTATTTGCCGCTTCTCGTGATAACTCTAGCAGTTTTCGCGATTATTGTCATGCTGACTTTGGTCCTATTCATCTTCAGGCAAGAAGTGCGCGTTTGGTTGCACTCAAAGTTCGGCATCAGAGTGTTCCAAAGACCCTCGGACATTGAACGGGACGATCGGGACAAACTATTCGATGCCTTTGTGAGTTACAGTTCAAAAGACGAAGGGTGGGTTGCGGAAGTTCTGGCTCCCGCTCTTGAACCGCACTACAAATTGTGTCTGCACTATCGGGACTATCCAGTCGGGGCGTTTCTTGCAGACAGTATAGTGCAAGCAGTTGAATCGTCCAAACGGACTATTATGATTTTGTCGGACAATTTTATCAAATCGGAGTGGTGTCGATTCGAGTTCAAATCTGCACATCATCAAGTGTTGCGCGATCGGAGACGAAGACTCATTGTGATCCTGCTGGGCGAAGTGCCCCAGAAAGACCTCGATCCCGACATCAGGCTGTACCTGAAGACCAACTTCTACCTGCAATGGGGCGACAAGCTGTTTTGGGAGAAACTCAGGTATGCTCTTCCCGATGTTCCCAACAATCATAGACATAATTCAGTGAGAACTCCCCATGTGCACCACCATGTCCATAGACACAGCGGACGGGGACAGCCCCCAAATCCACCGGGCCAACAAGGTCCCAGAACTGTAGCTATACACATTTGACGATAGTAATTATTACTATTTCCTTCCTAATGTCAGACAAATTGTGATAATATTGTAGATTGACTTAGTAGTGCAATTGTTGATGCCTTTTTGTGATATGTTAGTAGACGACTCGGGAGTACGAGTGGGCGCACGTTTTATTCATTAGTTTACGCCAAAATTGTAGCAAATTTTTCACCCAAAATTGTATGTACTTAAATGAAACTTCCCGAGGCCAATAAAAAATTAATCCTCTCATTATAGTCAAACAATGGTATTGTACATTATGTGTAAATACATCCACCTGTATATTATTTATTTAAGAGTATTTGAAAGACTGTTTTTGTACATTTATAACACTGTTTTACGTACTTTTTTAATTATATATATATTTATTATAAAATAGACAATTCTTCAAACGTCCATTTGTTATAAAACCATTACGATTTCTGTAAATTATTCTTGCACATGATCAGAATGTTATTGCCTCTCGCCTATGAATATTGAAAATGACCAATAAATGTGATTAGTCAAATTTAATTTTGCGATTTTATTTGCTTTTCACGAAATTATCCTTGCACCACCTCACCTGCAAACTTCGGTACACGAGAGAAAAATAATTTCTTCGAGAAAAACTCTTTCTAGGACACTAACCTGAATCATTATGAAGTGAAATATGAATTAAGATTTCTTGTTCTTCTTCTTATCTCAAAAAGTTTTTGACTTGAATTTACCCATAGACTAAAGAACCAACTTAGCTCTGGTGGAGAGAATTCGTACATTCAGTGACTTTAGGATCAGGAACATTTCTGCTGAACGAATAAATCATAATTCTGTTGTATAACCAATAAACAAAAACGTATTCGAAATTCACATAAAAATAATGCTCAACAGATTAATATGGTGTCGAATAAATTGCAACCTAATGTCTAACTAGATATAAAACTGCCTAACAAAGAGCAATTGCAAGCACTTGTGCAAGCAATTATTTACCCTTTTTTTTGTTATACAGCTTCACACATACAGATTCACAACTCTATGGACACAGAGCAGGGGCGAGTAGAGGACCTCAAAACAAGTTGAGTTTCCATTCAAGTTTTTTTTCGCAGGCCCACCATTTGGTTAACGAGAGACAGGGTGTTAAAGTTTCAAAAACAATTTGGTATTTTCTTTTTAACTCCTACAGTTTATGAGATATTTTGCTCAAATATTTCACGTAGGTTAATGTTTACACGCTTGACCCGTACGTAAGGCGACTGGTTGTGAAAATTTAAAGGGAGTTTTTTTTCCTAGAGGCTTACCCCCTTTTATCCCCCCGAACTTTTTTGTGGTGCGCCACTGACTTCCACCGAACAAATTTTTGAATTTGTTGTTCAATTTAAGAATTTTCTAATCTCTTGCAGTTTGTTCGGATCTATCTTCGTTTTCGAGTTATTTGCACAAATACCTACCTAAATATGTTTAAAGGGTCTAAACATTAGCCTACGTTAAAAGTGTGAGCAAAATACCTCATGAACTGTAGGAGTTAAAGAGAAAATACCAAATTTTTTTTTAATTTAACACCCTGTAGCTTGTTAACCATGGGCCTGAAAAAAAACTTAAATAAAATAAGAGGAAACTCGATTTGTTTTGAGGTCCTCTACACGTCTCTGCTAGGTGTCCATAAGGTTGTGAATCTTATCATATAGGTTGTATATATATCCTTTCTTATCAACTTAAAGATAATATTTTGTTTGTTTTCTGTGGACTTTTTTACAAGGCTGTTGAATCGCTAAATTTTCCCACTCTTGTGCCAAGCAAATAACGGAGTTAAAAATGTTTTCAGGCATCTTAACCAGTTAATAATGAATACTAATTTTCTCGCTGCTGAACTAATTTTTAAACTTACATGTTTTCTTTTTAATAAGCACATTAGACAAATAAAATATTTGTGAATTATTGTATTTCATTAAAATGTTCAATAAATGTTATTTATAAAACTAGATTTTTACTAGTTTTATACTTAGTAGTTACTTTTTAGTTTTATTAGAGAAATTCTGATTTCTTTAAACAAACGATTTCGAAAACTACACCATTCCAAAATAATTATTAAAAACCGTCTTCTATGGGGAAACTGCCGATAAAAACTAGGCTAATGTTGTACGGAGACCAACTTTTTACTGGGAAACGAAAATCATAGATCCGATGTAGCAAACCCTAAGCGAATATGAACCAATTTTGCATGTTAATCAGACAGATTTTGCATCAAGTGCGTGCTTAAAAAATACCAGGAGCGCATGCATAAGAAGGAATACTTACTTATTTACTACCATAACGATTTGATTTTTATTATATTTACTGCAAAACAGAGAAAAATTAACTGTTTTAGTGGGTGGCGCAAACAGCGGCTCTTTAATGTTTTAATGTAATGTAGGTAAATGACTAAATGCATCGAACTAATTTCCTCAAAAACTATTATTAGTCTTCCTACAACTCGACTGAACTCATGGATTCCTTCTGGCCAATTTCTTGAATGGCACCAAAAATTTGAAAATACAGAACCACTTTACCTGACCATACTACTGAACTGTTTTAAAGTGTGAAATTTAAAAATTTGACTTTTTCTCAATAGCAAACTGAAACATGAAAAGTCTTTAATGAGGAAATATTTGAATATATATGAAGTATTTTCCACTTTTTTGATGGTAAACAAAATGCAATTGGCTCCTCTAAAGTTTATTTTGTGTGAGTTTGAGCTTCATCATCAATTCAATGTGACTACTCAAAGAATGAACGAATCATTACTAGACATTATTCATCTTTGCCTAAAATGGCAGTTTTATGGTTTGTTATAAAACAGATAAGTAGTTTACGTTCTCTAAAATTTATCTTCATAATCAACTGCAACTTTACAATTTAAACAATAAAGTACTAATTTACGACTCATTTAACGGTTTGCGTTTGAAAATCTGTACTGTACACGCAAAAAATTGAAACAAAAACTTTTATGTTTAAATCGCTCTTCTGAAACCATCGATGATTATAGAAAATCTAAAAATGTTTTTAAACATTTTAGTATGGAGTAATTCAAAAGTTTTCTAAACGTTAAAAAATTAATCTAAACTCAGCTCAAACACACAAAACTGCATCGGATCCCCACAATTTTTCTCTCCCATTTAGTTTAGAAGGTCGCTTCACTATCAGAAAACGCTTCGTGTTAACAGTTCAACTTAATACTAAATAATTAAGCTGAGATAATTATTTGGCAAATTATGGCCTATTATTTCGACTTTGGCCAACATAAAATGCAAATTGCTGAATTTGTTAAGATAAAACTATTGATCCTTAGTAGGTCTGCAGAGACGAAAAATCTGAAAATACCATTTAAAAAATAAAGATAGAAATTAAGATAAACTCTGCAAGCGCCTGGCAGCAATAAAAGTAAATTTATTAGGTGCCCAGGCCTACCAAAAGAAGAAATTTGCATACAAATTTACTAGATTAGACGGTCGAGATAACATTTTTGGTAACGTTCTAACTGTAGTGAAAAAGATTGCAAGGTGGTTTGGATAGAGTTATGTTTCCGTTAAATTAACTTAACTTTAAGGTAGGAAACCACTCAATTTTGCTGGTTGGTGACCTAAATCACAGAACTTGAGGTGTGCATACATATGAACATCGATTAATTAAATAACGCAAGGAAATTACAATGAATAAAATGTACAATCGTAAATCGCTGATGTACGTACAACTCCATAAATGAAGAACAGATTGATGATTGTGGTTTCAACGACCCATCCGAGATTAAAGAATAATTAAATTTATATCATCAGATAAGTTTACGATTTTTCAACTAGCCCCATAAAAGTTAACATTCGAACGAAAAAGAAATTTAATAACCCGCCAGATTTATACCACCTCGCTTTTATTACCCGAGAGCTGTAAATGCAAATTTTGCAAACATCTTGTTAAAGATTTTATTTCTTACTGTAAATTGTTCGATTTTATATTGTCAGTTCTACATCTAATTTAATCGCCAGGGAATAAATTTATAATAAAATGCGGCCTGGATAAACACGTTCAAAAGGCCAAAGATAAACAATGCAAGACTTTCAAGAGAAACTTTCACGACTCACTCTAAGTAAGTCAGACAAGAACAATTGTCGGAACAACCCACTTGTCTTGAAGAAGAGCCGAAAATCAAACGAGATAAAATCTGTCCTGTATCGCGGCGCAAAAGCATGTATTCCCGAAAAAACAACATCGTAAATTTGCCGGCGTTGAATTTTATTATGTATTTTTACGGCTTTTTGATAACATGCGTTGCAGTGGAGGCACAAGACTATATTTTCCAGTTTTCGACTTTATGGCCGAGACCGATATGTTTTCGGATAGTCAGTGGGGTCATCCGATTGTTGTAGACTTTCCCAAAGACATTTATAAGGAAATGGACCCGGAGCTGGATTAATTCAACTTAAAAAAAAAACATGTTGTTCAGTTAAAATCTCGATTTGATAATAATAAATTAACCGCTCAACTTCCTTAATTAAGTCAATGCTTCAACATCCGCCGTTGAAGTAGATTTTACTTTAATATTTGAATCCTTCTAACTACGGCATATGCACATAATTCCTAATATTTGGTTTTGCAATCAGGATCCAGTTCTCACGATCGCTTTTTCATCAATAAATTCTTCTCTCCAGCTGCTTAGGACAACCATCGCCTCACTATATTTGCCCTTTTACACTAATCAAATCAAGCCATTTAATTGTTCCGTAAAATTAGTTCCTCTTTGCCTGTAGGTACTTGAAAAGAATTTAAAAGCAACTGCCACCCACCGAGTCTAATGTCCATTCAATTCCAATAATTTAATTGATTTCGTTCCCAGAATTCTGGTTGCTGATGATGAATTTGATTCACTTATGTTAACTGAGTCTTTCAGTACTTATACGGGTACCGTCAAATTGTCACTGAATGACACTCCAGTCGCAGCCGCAAAAGACAAAGTGAAGAACTGGTGTGAAATACATCGAAATGTCCCCGAAAAATTCAACTTCTAAAACAAAAAAAAAATGTATTAATTGCTTCGGTTTAGACTACGCGAATTAAAAAAATTGAGGTAATTTATTAAAATTTAGCACAGACGAATGTATAAAATCAAAGCATATTTATTAACAACAAAGACCAGAGGAACGTTCAAAGAAAATCGACACTGATATTCTGAATATCTAAGTGGCATTGTGCAAATTATATACAATGTAAACCGCCATAAATAAATTCGCAAAAGTGAATGTTTCCGCAAATTTCTTCTTGGCAGTGGAACCTTTAAGTCGCATACCGTTCCAAGCTGTAAGTAACAGTAAAATAATCACGGTGTGTTTCAGTTAGAACTGTCAATCGCGAAAGCCTCATTGGGTACCATAAGCGCAGATAAACACCGTTAGCCCAATTGTTTCGCAAATGAAAATTATAGAAAAAGTATTCCTATTTTAGCAAAAATTGCAGCTGTTGTAAAAATGTATTTTCACAACAGGTCAAACTTTAGCAGGTTAAACTCAGCC